TGTGTGTGTGTGTGTGTGTGTGTGTGTGTGTGTGTGTGTGTGTCTCAAATTCAGTGTGTTGCTCACTCTGTGGGCGTGATTATGGGCGGACCGTCTGCAGCAGCTTCATCTGTTGTGTTTTTAAAAAACAGCTGTTGTGGTTTAATCGTTCATTCTTTACTTTATCTTTATTTATTGTTGCGGTGCTGTTAAGTGCTTGTGTAACCATGGGCGGCCAGTTTGTTCAAAACCTCCCAGGCTATCTGCTCAGCTTTGTGTCCTTCACCTCTCTCCAAGAAGTGTTTGCAAGTTCTGCCTTTCCCAAGATCACCAAAAAGGTTAGACCATGGTTTTATCACTGCTTCCGTCATGACATTATCTATGCCTCATGCTCGTATTAAAACAAAAAACAAAAAAACAAAGGCATCTCTCCTTCGCCTTTCCTCTGTCAATCAATCCCAGAGCAGCATTCTGCTGACGTCAAAATCATAAGTGTGCTGTACCCACTTCTACCCACTTCGAACCACCAGAGAGGAGGTAGTGAAACAGCATGGCTGTACGCAGTTGGAACCTAATGGAGACACATTTAGCTGAGGCTGAATGGAACCACATACAAGCCAGTGGAGATGGGGCTTTATTAACGTGTTGTGAATGAGGATGCTTGAGGACTGGATTTTTTTCTTTTTTTACAAATTTTTATAAAAAAAAGTTTTCCCAACGTTTTGAAATCGAGTCCGTTACCCTTTTTCAACAGAACCTCTCCAGCAGTAGAAAACACAGATGAGGCTGGAGTGCTTGAGGCAACTCCATAATTCTTGATAAAATTGACAGACTTGCACAGTAGCCTGTTTATAGGTGATGAGTTAAACACGGCGCAAAGGTGCGTGCACCAACAGTGATGCAATCGTTGACCCCCACGTAGTGTCCCGGCACATGTTTGTGCACCTCTGAATACTTGTAAAGGCTGCATGCCATGCATCATTCAAACAGTTTGTTTGTCAAGCTTTTGCTCTCCTATTTACAACATTTCACAAGTTATAAAGTGTACTGCCACATGCCCTTTTGGAGAATACTGCATTAACATAAGCGCTAAGATGTAGCATCATTGAAACAAAGCACCACTTCTTGCTTCACCCAGAAAACCAGTGTAGGTCAGACTCATCTACAGTCCTGCCAAATTTCATGTTGACAGTCCTGCCAAATTTCATGTTGATCGGTGCAGCTGTTTTTGTGCTATGGTTGACCAAAAATCACTGAATGAATGAATGAATGAATGAATGAATGAATGAATGAATGAATAAATAAATAAATAAATAAATAAATAAA